CCCCCACCCCCCTCCCCAACCTCTCCCTGCTCACAGAGAATAAAAGGGGTACGGAGGCTGCGGAGGGATGGCTGGATGGATGGAAGCAGGAAGGGTTGTGTGCGGCCTGTTTGCAAAGAGCAACAGGCGGCATTGTCCCGTGTGTGTGTGTGTGTGTGTGTCTGTGTGCGTGTGTGTTCGCTTTGTGCCCGGATCGTAGACAGGTGCCCTGACCCCTTTGTCGTGTGTCAGTGCGTTACTCCTCTCCCATGGATACAGTGTATGGTATACTATACTGTGTAGGTGCAGCGAGCATGTTGTTCCTCTCATATTGGCGGTGCTGCATTCTTTGGCCCTTCCGTTGCTTTACTTTCTCAAAGGATGTTGCATCATTATTTTTTGTTCAACTGTGTTTTCAGATTTTTCCTCGCCAAATTTCTCATTTGTTTTCAACTGGTGTATTTCTTGGTACATAATTGGAATAAAGACAATAGGATATTTTAATTATTTTTTTTTGCTGAACATATATTTTATTTATTACCATCTCATTGTGATATAAATTGCAAGACTAAAAAGTAATGTATTCTCAGAATTGTTTCCCGCAGGTTGAAGTCTTGACATGAAGAGATCACATATACATATTTTGGCATGCATCACGTCGTTCCCGAACCAATCTGAGACCCTGCTTGGAATGCTAGTCAGTCTTACCAGCAGTGGACCCGAAGGGCCGCGTCCGCCTCCACAACCACACCGCGCCGCGCCGCGCGCGGCCAAGCTCGCCGTGATCCAGGATCACCGAAACAAAAAAAAATCTTTCCATATAGACTACTACCTCTAATATCACTGTTCAACAAACAAGACACAAAGAGAGAAAAGAATAAAAACTGGTGACAGTTTTTACAATAAAACACGACAAACAATAAAAGGACGATGAAAATGGTAATGATAATAAAAATCATTAATAAAACAGCCTTCTGGAGAACACCTCACAAGGGCACAACCATCGCGTCAGTATGGCACGGCAAACATACAGGAACATCAACCAGAACATAATAATGAAGATAGTCACAGTTATAATCATCATAATAATAATTCATAATAATTCATAATAATAAAAATTAACCAATGAAAACAATAATGAGGGAACCTCAAACATGGTAAATCTAAATTGGAAACAGATAATACCTATTTGTTAAAACAACAAAATTCATTACACTTTGACTTAAAACTAAGTGACTGATGCCAAAGGCATTTACCCGTAGTCGTGAGCGGCCAGACGGCCAAAATTTAAAACTAAAGTAGGGGGGGAAAGGGGAAAGGAAAAATAAAGACTATTTTTTTGTCTTTTTAAGTCGATGTGTAGGAAATGAGCTCAGACATTGGCCAGCTGATGCCTATGCCGCTGGTTGAGGAATGTGGCGTCTACGAGGTCGTCGTCATCCTCCTCCTCGTCGTCGTACTCGACGGCGTCGTGGTCCAGGTGGTCCGAGCCGGACCAGGGCTCGAGGGGCACGCTCCGCGGGCTGCTGGCGGGCAGGCTCGTGGTCGCGGGGCTGCGGCTGGGCTCCCGCATGATGACGACGCGGTGGTCCCGGCGCACGGAGAGGTCCTCGGGCTCGGTCTGCTCGGGGAGGTCTGACGGCGAGGCCCGAGGGTGTCGGGGCAGGTGCAGGGGCCCCGTCCGGCCCGACGACGGCTTGAGCCGCTCCTGGCCGCGGACCTTCCTCGCGCTGCTGGGCGGCGTGAGGTGCGCGCCAAACAGGGGGTGCTCCTCCTCGTCGCTGTACTGCTGGCGGTCGACGCGCAGGTGCTCAGCCGCGGGCGCGGACAGGATGGTGGGCAGCGGCGCGCTGCCCAGGCACTTGTGGTGCTCCATGTGGTGGCGGCGCCTGAAGCGGCCGCCGCACTGCTCGCACGAGAAGGGCTTCTCGCCCTTGTGGATGAGGACGTGCGCCTTGAGCTGGTTCGAGTCGGAGAAGCGCGAGCTGCACATCTCGCAGGCGTACGGCTTTTCGCCGGTGTGCACCCGCAGGTGCCGGCGCAGGTTGGCGACCTGCACGAACTGGCGGTCGCAGTGCGAGCAGTGGTAGGGCTTCTCGCCCGTGTGCAGCCGCATGTGGGTCTTGAGGTGGTGGTCCCGGGTGAAGCGCTTGTGGCACTGCGCGCACTCGAACGGCTTCTCGCCGGTGTGGGTGCGCTCGTGGTTCTGCAGGACGTGCTTGTAGCCGAACGAGCGGTTGCAGACGAGGCAGGTGAACACCTTGTCGCGGCCCTGGAGCGCGCCCAGCGCCTGCTCCGCCTTGGCGTCGCCGCTGCCGCTGCTCTGAGGCGAGGACCCCGACGTCGGCGGCGAGAGCGGCGGCGGTGGCGGCGGCGGCAGCACGGACACGGCGGTGAGGTCGGGGGACTCGGGGGACGCCCTCCTGGGCGCGGGCCTCTTGCGCGCCGCGGCCGCCGTCCTCTTGATGCTGCTCGTGCTCGTCACCTCATTGTTGTTGTTTGTGCTCGTATTGTTGTTGTTCATGGGCCGCTTCCTGCTGGCCGCCTTGAGCTGCTTGCTGCCGTTGAGGTTGTTGTTGGCGCCGAGCGCGGGCGGCGGCGACTGCGGCGACGCGGGCCAGCCGAACAGCGGCGGGAAGAGGCCGGCGGCGAGCAGGCTGGAGCTGAGGCCCTGGTGGAGGCCCTGCGGCAGGCCGGAGGGCAGGCCCGGCGGCAGGCCCTGGGGGAGGCCAGGCAGGCCCAGCGACATGAGCGACGACTGCGCCGCGAGCAGCGGGTGGAGGCCCTGGGGCAGGCCGCCCTGGAGGCCGCCGGGGCCGCCCAGCGAGGCAAGGCCCCCGGGGGACCCGAGGCCGGGGCCGAGGCTGAACTCCATGGGGCTGTCGCGAGGCTTCATCGCGCCGGCGCCTGCAAGCACAACAGAAAAGGAGAGAGAGAGTTAGTCAGAGCGGACACCGCCTTCACCTACAACAACCCCCCCACCAGCGAGTACGTGACGCCCCCGCCGGGACCCCCGCACGGGGCCCCCTCCTCTACGGCCGCGGCCAACAAGTCCACCTGTTGGGCCATATGCAACGCATGCTCGGCGCCCTCTGGGCCGGGGGCGGGCGGGAGCGGCGGGGGGCGGCTCATGCGTGTGGCGGGCTGCCGCCCCCCAGGCGCCCCCACTACACACACACACACAAGCTCGCCCGCCCCGCCGCGCCTGTTGTCTCAGCCCCAACAGAGACGGGCCCGCAGCCACCGCCCTTATCTCGATCAGGTGCCGCCGGTTGCGCCCGCCCATACACCACGGCGACGACACATGACTTCCGGGCAAGAGACCCTAACAGCAGGGTGATTCCGCATCGCACACGAGGCGGCCACTCTGTACTATACTGTCGCTCGCACGCGGAACTTATCTTTCTCTCTCTCTCTCTCTCTTCTATACTGCCCTTGTCACACTTACGGACAGAAAGGGAAGAGCGGTTCCTCGCGCGAGCAGTTGTTACCATCCTCGCGGAATCTCCCTCCCTGCAGCTTCTCGAGGACAACAGAATGCTCGGAGGATACGCGACGCGTGCAAGGAAAGAAGAAGGTCTCCGCGAGCAGCCGCAGCAGAACCAACCTCCTCACCTATATTTTTCCCCATTCACGCAAGAATCGTCGCAATCTGCTCCATCCCCCCCTTATACGGCCACGCGTTGTTCGCCTACACACACACTAATAGGACATCAGCGACGGCCCGAGCCAACGCAACCTAACGCAGCTGGGGGACAAAGAGCCGCAGGCGCGCGCGCACCCGGCGCAGGGCCGCGCTACGCTCCGCCACCCCACCCGGACCCTCCGTTTTTCCCTCTTTTTTGCGGAAAAAGCTGGACCGACGACGACGGCGGCGGGTTTTGGAAGGGGG